AGCTGATGAGGTGCATGCATCAGCTCGTATGCAGAATATGGTCAGATGAACGCATGCCCGACGACTGTAATTTAAGTGTGCTCTGCCCAATCCACAAGAAAGGTGACCCCGCTGTACGCGCCAACTANCACACACCTGCTCTCTGAGAGCACTCTTCAGCAATACGACATACGCGAGCAGTGGAACCACATTTCCCGATCATTAAGTACCGCCGGCGGACAAGTAGTTGGATTTCAGCAAGCCCGAAAGAACAACTGGTACGATGAGGAATGTCAAGAAGCCTTAGAGAAAAAAGAAAAGAAAAGAAGTGTTATAGGAAACTGAAGAAGGAAGCGAGACGTATTTGCCGCAATAAGAAGAGAGAGGCCGAAATACGTGAGTGCGAAGAGCTTGAGATGCTGGCCGACAGGAAGAACGCCCGAAAATTCTACCAGAGGGTTAGGCGACTTACGGAAGGTTTCAAGACCGGGGCGAACTCCTGTAAGAACAACAATGGCGACCTAGTGACCGATGTCCAGAATATACTTAAATTGTGGAGGGAACACTTTTATAACCTACTGAATGGTAGCAGCGCTGAAAGTAGTGAGGAAGACGAACCCGAGTCCCCAGTCGATGATGATGGAGTAGCTGTCCCACCGCCTGACTATGACGAGGTACGAATAGCGATTACGCGGCTGAAAAACAACAAAGCTGCTGGAGCTGACGGCCTGCCAGCCGAGCTATTCAAGTACGGCGGCGAGGAGCTGATGAGGTGCATGCATCAGCTCGTATGCAGAATATGGTCAGATGAACGCATGCCCGACGACTGGAATTTAAGTGTGCTCTGCCCAATCCACAAGAAAGGCGACCCCGCCATACGCGCCAACTACCGCGGAATTAGCCTTCTAAGCATAGGTTACAAGGTCTTATCGAGCGTATTGTGCGAAAGACTGAAGCCCACCGTCAACGAGCTGATTGGACCTTATCAGTGTGGCTTTAGGCCTGGAAAATACACCAAAGATAAGGTATGCGCAATACTTGGAAAAGACAGGCGAGAATAGGATCGACACACACCATCAATTTGTCCATTTCAAAGCCGCTTTCGACAGTACGAAAGAAGTTGCCTTTATTCCGCGATGTCTGAATTTGGTATCCCCTCGAAACTAATACGGCTGTGTAAAATGACATTGAGCAATACCACCAGCTCCGTCAGAATAGGGAAGGACCTCTCCGAGCCGTTTGATACCAAACGAGGTTTCAGACAAGGGGACTCCCTTTCGTGTGATTTCTTTAATCTTATGTTGGAGAAGATAATAAGAGCCGCAGAACTGAACCGCTCAGGCACAATACTTTATAAGAGCGTACAATTGCTGGCGTATGCCGACGACATCGATATTATCGGTAAAAACAAGGGCTACGTCTGTTCTGCCTTCTCGGGATTGGATAGAGAAGCAAAGCGAATGGGTCTGGTGGTGAACGAGGACAAAACGAAGTATCTCCTGTCAGCACACAAACAGTCAGAGCATACGCGTCTTGGCACCCACGTCACTGTTGACAGTTACAAGTTTGAAAAAGTAGACGACTTCGTTTATTTGGGAACCAGCATTAACACCAATAATAATGTCAGCCTTGAAATCCAACGGAGAATCACTCTTGCCAACAAGTGCTACTTTGGGCTGAGTAGGCAATTCAGAAGTAAAGTCCTCTCTCGTCGTACAAAGATCACACCCTATAAGTCACTCACACGAATGATAGAATACATGATTGCGCCAATGAGAGAGGATTTTTGAGCGTAATTTTTGCGTGACGTCATCTTGGTGCATTTGCGAGAGAGAAATGCCAAAACGCATATAAAAATATGTAAACAATGCAGAAAAATGTGTTAATTTTAATATTACATGGCCCAATTTTGCAGGAATCAATAAATATACAAAGATTGATTAATTAGGAACACGTAGCAATAATTTTGGACATGTAGCCCTTTAGATAAGTACGATTTTTAGGACATGAAAAAATGTATGTATTAACAGTGTTTGCAATTTCATGTAGACAAAAAGGAAGGTGTGCAGCAAGTGAATTTTTGGACTTGCCATTTTAAAAAGCCAAGCAGAGTGCATATTTATATTTGTGGACGGTAGCCAACCACCATAAACTCCACAGCTGTTGACTCCACAGCTTTTATTTTATGACTTTTGTACCATTTTCGAGAGGATGCATGAGTGTGGCTTTTTTGGAAGCAAATATTCTATGTCAGTAAAACATAATTTAAGTTGAACCTTTAAATGTATAATAATTTGGGCACTGTATTGTATTAGGTACGTCACAGCGCGGTAAGATGCCGCTTGAATTAGCGACTGGCGACCTTAGCCACTGGTGCATTACCTCATACCAGCACTAAAAAAGTCAGGTACTAACAAAAATAAGTAGGTAGTGAAGTTCATGTATCTATTTCCTGTAGAAACTGCTTTTGTATGTAAGCCGTTGCCAGCAAACTAAACCAGCAACTGTCTACATTCACCATGGAAATATACCTACTACAATTCACCAAGGAAAGGCCAACATAGTTCCATGTAGAAGCTCATAGCTCACACACATAGCACAAAGCTCGATTTGGTGTTTAATGCATGCCCTCCCCGGCAGAACTGCTTCCACTTTTTCCCCAGGTTTGCGTCCGTAGGAAACGAAAAAAAACTTATATCGCACGCTTTCCTTTTGTTTGCACTATTACACTTTGCCACTGCACACTTCATTTTGCTTTTTAATGTCTCAATAATTGTTTAAAACCACGCAGAAATATTAACGCAAAAATATTAAAATTGTTATTTGGTTATTTCGTATGCTCACATTCAACAATTGCACCAAGATGACGTCACGCACACAGCTCATTCTGTCAAAATTACAAAGAGCGGATTAGCGGTACCGCGATTGGCGCAATCTCTATTTCTCTCAATCGTGAGTCACTCATAATGCCTGTGCTGGTGTATGGGGCAGAGGCATGGACAATGAAAGCATCTGATGAGGCGGCTCTTGGAGTTTTCGAGAGAAAAATTCTGTGAAAGATTTACGGACCATTACGCGCATGGTGATGGCGAATATCGCAGACGATTCAACGATGAGCTGTATGAGCTTTACAACGATATAGACATAGTGCAGCGAATTAATATTCAGCGGCTCCGCTGGCTTGGCCATGTCGTTCGAATGGACAGAAACGCTACTGCTCTCAAAATATTCAACGCGGGCCGCGATGCTGGTAACAGAGGAATAGGAAGGCCTCCTCTGCGTTGGAAAGATTAGGGGAAGAAGGACTTGGCTTCACTTGGCATTTCCAATTGGCGTCAGTTAGCACAGAAGAGAAATGACTGGCGTGCTGTTTTGGACTCGGCCAAAATCGGTTAGGCGGTTACAGCGCCAATAAAGAAGAAGAAGATATTAGAACAAGATGCACACTTTCACTTGTCGCCTAGTGTAATTCCACATATTCACGCATAGTAAAAAATAGCAAAATTCCACAAATTTTCACCAAAGTATTATACGATTTATTTAGAAATGTTCTTGGGCCGTTTTCTTAAGTAACCTGTAAGTTTAAAGCTCACTTTATATTTAAAGGTTGCATTAAAATTTATGGTTGTGTCTGAAGTAAAGCATTTTATTTTTGGTTTTCAATTGGTTTACAACCAAGAAACAAACATACGTTAAAAACCGATAATAGAAATGCTTAACTTTAGACATAGCTTTATTTTTAATCCAACCTTTAAATATAAAGTGAGCTTTAAAGTTAAAGGTTACTTCAGAAAATGGCCCTTAGAAACTTAAAACTCTATAGTTATATCACTGTTGAACGACTGAAAAATTCCCTAGCGTTAGGAGGATTTCGCTCCACCTTAACGCAATTTTCTATGGCAGTGGGTTGATATTGACACTTTTTGGTTGGAAATTCAATCAAATTTGTTTAATTAAAGTACAAATGTTAAAGAATACTTTTTAAATATAACGAAATAACTGCATGTTTATAACAACATAATGACAATTAAAATTTCTCAGTCTACCACGATCGCGGACACAAGAAGACAAGTACATATCCTCGCCCGTATGCCAGAAACATGAATGTGTAAAAATGAAAAATATAAGGTTTCCGGTCACGCCTGGTATTCTTGGTTTTGGTATAACATAGAACATCCAAAGGTTAATCAAGTCAACCCAATAACTCAAAACTGATAAATTTGCACATTAATACTTCCAGCATAAGGGTGACGATATGTATATATCCAAGCAATAAATGATTTGAAAATTTCAATAGTGCTATAGCATCTACATACGTCCGCGAGCGTACAAGTATATATGCATATATATGTATGTAGGTTTATTGAACGCACGACTTGCTCATTTATTGAATGCCCTCGATGTTCGATGTCCTCCGATGGTGCCTTTATTTTTATGTGCGTGCCGTCAATCGCTCCTAATACTCCTGGGAATCTGAATTTTTCATAAAATCTATGGAAACAAAACATAAGTACATGCATACACACATTCATATGTACATATGCCCTAAACAGTATTCCTCTTTTAACTCACTTTTCCTTTATAAGCTGCTTTTCGTCAATTGTCGATGGGAACTTTATATATTGGGTTAATAAATGTCTGTCCATTATGCTTGCAATTTCCCTGATGCACCTGCAAACGCTGCTTTGGGACACATTGAGCAAGAAGTCTTGGCAAACTTAACGTTGATAGCTTCCTACAAATATTAAATAATTTCGGCGTAAACAATTGTTTTATGCGGAAGATGAATAATGTGCATATGCATACATAAATAACTACATAGTATGTATACATACCTTGGGCAAAAATTCGCAATGCTACAAGGAATCTTAACATTCTTGAACGCCCTCTTGATGCATTTTGCCGCATGTAAGGGCAAATTTCTGCGTAAACGCTTCGACATATATCTTTTGGTAGTCGAAAGATTTCAATAAACCGCTCCTCAGAAATACTGAACGGATCCGTGCTTTCCCGCTACGATTTTCGTTTGATTCGCAAACTGTTTCTCAAAAATCTTTGGGAATACACTGCCACACGATGCAAGTACCTTTGCAATGCACTCATTTTTTTCTAAACAACATTTATGTACAAATGTATTAAAACTTGTTTATATGAGCATGTTTCTTTAAAAGACAGTGACAGTAATGCCTGCCTGAGATAGTGCTTTTCGAAGTACTAATACTCACGTTCTAGCGAAATTACTTCACAGCTATTAGCTTCACACGATAAACTTTATACTTTTTAATTTATTACATTTATTACAGACAAGTTAGAGGCAGGTTTTAACATTCAAAACTGTATCTTAAGATAAACACTCTTTTAACACTGTCATAGTCAACTTAAAAGACCTTTTAACTTTAAAACGGCGTTTTAAATTTAAAATGAGGTTGACGAGGTTTTAAAATCTTAAAAGCGTACTCTAAGTAGACGTTTTCCTGTCAAAATTTGCGGAGAAAATACAAAAGTGGTCTTAATTTGAAGAATATGCTTCCCAATTAAAGGATATTTCGAGATTTTGCGATTTTGGATGATACAATCGTAACCAGAAATAAGAAAACTTACAAGGAACGCCAAGATCCTTTTCAAATGAAAGAGGAAGACCGCGAGCAAGTCTTTTCAGCAGCAGTCCAATTAACTACACGAATTCTTTTCACTTCCTATAAAAATTAAATTATTTACGTTAATAAGTTATATTTTACAAAAATTTGTTATTTATTTACAGTTTGCTGCGCCATTTTCAAAATTATTTATAAAAGTCAGTTGACACAGGGTGAACTTGCTAAAATAACAAAGTTTTTCTAATGCCGATTGGTTACTTTTTTCATTTTATATTAATGGCCCCGTTTTGTGTCAATTTAGCAAAAACCTGCCTCTAACATGTCTATAACTGACTAAAACTTAAAGCCTGCTCTAAACTTAAAGATTAATTTTAACTAGAAGAGGTTTTAACTTTCGACTATAACTACGGGCCATTATATTATCTCTTGTTTATGTAAAATGCACAATGCATTCACCACAAATCAAAACAAAACTTGTCATTTCTCACAAGCTGCAAGAGCGACGCCCCTGGCGGATAAATGTATTACAAAATCTCTTGGAGATTTTTGGCAACTCGAAACACAGAATCGCCTAACTTTCGGGTAATTTTTTGGCTTTAGCATTTTGGAGATTTTTAGAGTTTTGGCGATAGCGATTTCCAGAATCCGCCTACTGGCATTCTGGTAAATTTATTGCGGTATTCAAAATACCACCATAGTGACAGAGATTAACTTCAGTGTCAAATCATAAGTTTCTGAAGAACAACACATAAACATAATAATGCAAAAATATTGCAAAATTTGCTTATATATTACATCAAAATTTGCGGTATAATCTTTTGGCTTCAATCGTACGAAAATTTCAATGATTTTTTTGATAAATGAGCAGCTGACATCTGCCATTTTTGGGTATGTTCAGTGCAAAATGACCATTCACAATGAGAATACCACAAAATTACAACCTTCGGAAATTTGTATCCTTTCTACAAAAAATACAAAGTTGCTCACGTAGTATTTTGAAGAATACTATAATATTTGGTGACAGACATATGGGATTTTGGAAACGCTACGATGAAATACCAGATGTCTGTCCGCGGGATTAACATTAACCCAAAACTCATTCAGAGACACAGATTCAAATGTGTGTTTCAATGTCGAAGTACTCTGAAGATCTATGAAGGCATCGTAAATGGATTTTGTACCAAACCGTTATTACTACTACCATCCGAAAATAATCTGACAAAGATTTCAGGTGATTTACCAACTGCCCAGTTAAGGCATTTCACATTTCATTGAGCAATTCATCGCGTTCCTTGTAGAAAGTTGTATGTAACCCTCTGGCTACAGCGGCCAACAACACATACTGTTTAGGAAAAAAACAAGCCGCCAAGCGCAAGCTCAACACTCTTAAGCTGATGCCACATAAAACTTTTGCTTCGTTTTACGTAACAGATTCGCTTTTACAGATAAGCACAAAGCATGCCACATATGTAGATCGTTGAACCTGCAGTGCAAAGCGAAAAGATGGCCAACTCCCATCTTTTTGCGCCCTTTGACAATCAGCCGGTTTAATATTTATTTTGTTTCGTCCAAATTCGAGTTTTCATGTAGAAACATAAAACTTGATTACATTGCTGATATTATTAAAGTAAAATATATAAAATCCATAGCAATTTTGACGAGTAAAAAAGCAGTACAAAATTGTTTTCTTGGCGTTCATTGTGGCATACCTTTTGCGTCTGGCGCTTTGCTGGAAAAGTTATAAACGCCACGCAATGCAGGAGATGAATTTTGTACGACATATTAACCCCAATTTCATCGAAAGCTGCCAACATGTTTGCAACAGATTGCCTGTAGTTGTCTTTTTTGAATTTTTTGAAATGTATCGCAAAAGGACCAGCAGTATTCAACCGTTTAAAAGACATTTTCCCAAGACTAAGTAACGCCAAAATTCAGGAAGGGGTTGTTAATGGTCCCGACATACGGAAACTAATGAGTCGTCAAGATTTTGACCAAGTTCTGACAGACCGAGACTTAAATGCATGGCTCGTATTGAAAGCAGTCATTAAAGGTCTTTTGGGTAAAGAACGCAAAGACAACTACAGGCAATCTGTTGCAAACATGTTGGCAGCTTTCGATGAAATTGGGGTTAATATGTCGTACAAAAATCATCTCTTGCATCAGCATCTTGATCAACTCGCTCAACAGTTGCCAACTGAATCTGATGAGCAAGGCGAACGTTATCACCAAACTGCGCTTCCATTTGAAATAAGGTAACTATAGAGTGTGCATATTTTGAATTCCTAGATTTTTCTAATATCTTTGTCAGAGTGCACAATTTAAACATGTTAACGATTGAAAACTATTTTCGTTTCAGGTACAGAGGAAAGAAATCTCCAGATGCAATACTCGCTGAAATTTGTTGGTGGTATAAAAACACCTTTGAAGAAGAGGAAGACGAGGAAGAAGGGGAAGACAAAGATGAAATTAAAGAATATCTGTTGGACGAAATTATTGACCTTTCTGATGATGATGACGACGACCAAGATATTAGAGAGAGCAGTGATGTTGATCCACAGCCGCCTGCTAAACGGCAACTGGCCAAATCATTAATTTAATTAATTTAATTTTTTTACTTAAAACTTTTCAAAGCTAACATTTCAAAATTATATTTTTTTCCAATTTTTAATATTTTCTTTTTCAATGTTTCTTCAAAACCAACACTGAATAAATTGATACATAAGAAATGAGAAGTAAATTAATATTAAGCTAGAAAACGCAAGTTTTGTATTATGATTGTTTTTTGTTTTCAAATGAAATTTATTGAAGAAACTGAGAAGCATATTATAGATCAAACAGAAAGCAAAAAAGACTAAGTTTTGTGGAAAATATGTTCAAAAAGCATGAAAAAAAAATTTCCAACATTTTGCTTCATAAGCACTACAAAAATATTCTAAATCAATTTTTATAAAAATTTTAATTGTTGCACAGGTCTATAGCAATAATTTGGCTTTAACAGATTGGAAAGATATCAATTAGTCGACGAGTTATAGCCAAAAAACCATATAAACAATATGCTGAAAATCGGCATTTGACTGCAAAGTTCGAAGGTCGATAAAAAAAAATTCGAACTAACATAAACAAACGCCGCGATACGGGTCTTCTAATTTAGCCTCACCCCTCACTCTCAGAATCGACCTAACTTTTGCTAACCTGAATTTGCTCCACAGTGTAATAATATGAAGGCTACTTTACTTATATTTCCAAACATTTTATTGCCAGTTGCGATTTTCACTCCGTAAGCAATTATCCAAAATTTCTCAGAGTCGGACGGAATGGTACAGTCCAAAAAGTTATTCCATGGGAAAGTTAAAAGATTTAAATATTCAGTTTCTGCTGCTTTTCTTTCCTTCAAAGTCAAATAGTGAATTGGCAGATCCCTGAAACTCGCCCTCTTGTGATTCAAACACTTTTCTGGTGACAAAATCAAAGCTTTTTTAAAAGTATTTAATAGACTAGGTAATCGTTTCGAAATCTCTTCGATTAGGGTGATTAAAAATTGTTGACAGTCTTTTAAAATGTTTCTTAAGTCAAGTTTATCACGCAGTTCATTAGCCTCTTCTGTACAATTATCGTGGAAAACTAAGTTTTGTATATTTTTATAATTGGAACAAATTTATTTGAAGGGGAAAAATCGCCAATGGCGATTTCCTAATTTTTACGCCCAAATATTCAAAAAAAATCTCCAAATTGGCGCTAAATTGCCAAATCTGGACACTCTGCTGTGAGTGTTAAATGCACTGCTCAGCTGCCGCTGTTCGTATACGTGTGAAACACACATGTGATCAGAGAGCGCACTGAGCTATGGTTCGCTGACCACTGCTTTATGGTCTGATTATGGCAACTTAACGTAACTTACGGCTCTCTTAAAAATTCTGTTAAATGGGTGCTGCTTATAATTGAACATCCAAAATTTAACGCAACTTAATGCCACGTCGAAATCTGTTTCATTTTGATTCTCTAAGTTCTACATTCCGTTAGGTTAAGTTAAGTTGCCATAATCAGGCTTTTAGACCAATGGTGGCCATTTCATAGGCACGCGAGTTACATATGTAAATAATTATGCAAAAACACCTGACGGTGCAACTGACAAATATGAGGAATTTTTAAAGCAAATAAACTAAGTAGTAACATAAAACCACTTCCGGCCTGTTGGTAAAATTGTACACAAAAAGAGTAATTGAAAATTAAAAAGACAACAAATTTCCAGGAATTATCGAATTGAACAATAAAATGATTGTTAAGCAGTTTAATTAAATTCACAAGCCGAAAGTAGTGAAAAATCAATTATTGTAAATAGAATAAGTTTCGTTTCAAGTTGAAGAAATTAAACAAATCAGTCTGGTTTTGTGCATATTCAGCGTCACTTCGCTGTAATCAAAATTGTAGCTTTTTGCCTTTTTTTAAAAACCTGTTCGCCACGACCCAAAGTGAAACTGGCGCAGTCGGTTATCCTGCCCAGCAAGTGTGGTTAGGATAGTGGTACGGAAATACGGTTAAATTACTGATAATTCCCAAAAATAATCCTGCGAATCTGTAGCCAACTCAGGAGTTGACAAGA